CTTTTTGGAAAGTGAGCTGAGATTTCTGAGGATGAATCAGAGTTAGCCAAAGAAAGAGATGAAAAAAAGAAAAAGAAAAAAGAGGTGGGGGAAAAAAGAGAGTCTAGGCAGAAGATTCTGGATATTGAAGGTATATGAGGAGATGAAAAAACAGGGCATTTTGATGAACTACAAGCACTTCATTCATTGGGAAAGTGGTTAGAAAAGAGGCATGAAAAACTAGAGAAGTAGGTGGGCCTGCATCATTAAGACCCCTATAATTCATGTTAAGAGGTTTGGACTTTATCCTGAAGCCACTGGAGGGATTCAATTAGGAGGCAGTTGCAATAATCCAGATGAGAAACGCTTAAGGTCTGACCGAAAGCCAGGGGGTCGGAAAAGAGAATATGAACAATTGGATGGGCTGCATAAGAGAAAAGACAGAATCAAGGATAAAACCCAGATTCTGACTTGGAAAGCAGGGTGAATGCTGGTGTCTATTCACTAAGTCAGAGAGAACAGAGGAGGAGCAGTAGAGATAGAAGACAATTGAAGTTTTGGAGATGGAGGGACTCCAAGAGCGATGTTCAGTGGTGAATAGCAGGAGTACAAGTCTTATGCTGAGGTGAGATGTGTAAACTGGGAGGCTGGAAATACATATTTAAACATCATCGGCATAATGGTAATTGAAGCCTTAGGAATGGTTGACACCACTCAAGGAGTGTGTGCATAGAGAAGAGCCCTGGAATACCACAGCTTAAGTTTTGAGGGAGAAGAACTGCAGTTTACAAAGGGGACTGAGAAGAAAATTGGAAGAACGTTATGAAATAAGTCAAAGAAAGTTACAAGTTAATCTTGGAGGGACTGGCATTTGTTTAAGAAGGGAGGACTTCTCTGGAAAAAGGAATGGCATGTGTAAAGCCGGAGAGGCAAGAGAAGTCACGGTCATATTTAGAGAATTCTATGTATTTCTGTTTTGTACTATTCCCTCCCTCATACACCTTTCAGTCCACCCTTCATTCCGGACTAGACTGTTTACTTGGACCCAAATTCAAGTTGCCTCTGACCTCCTTGACTTTGTTCACACTGTTCTCCCCATCTAGAAAGCCCATCCCCCCCTTCATCAAATGTACAAGTTCTCCTCATCCCTTGTGGCCCAGCACGAATACCAAGACCTCCATGATTTTCCGTGATTATCTTCTTCCTTCTCCCCTTGGGAGTAATTCCCCTCTTTGGAATTCTCATAGCATTGTATCTGTATCTCTCTTATGGCATTTTAATGAAGCTTCATAGTTACTCAAGCAAACATCCTTGAGACCGAGAACTACCTTTGAATTAGGACCCATCAGGTATAATCCCCAGCACCCAACATAACATGGAACCTGCCCTTAGAAGGCCTTTGATTAATGCAGGGCTTCTCAGAGTGTGGCCTCAGGACCAGCAACATCAGCATTTCTGGGAACTTGTAAGAAATCTAAATTCTCCGGCCCCACCCCAGACCTATTGATTCAGAAACTCTGGAGGGAGGGCCAGTGATCTGTAGTTTAACACACCTTCAGATGATGCTTAATACAGCTAATGTTTGAGAACCACTGGGTTAGCTGAAGGTCTCCTTTTTTTTCTGGAATAGAAATTTGCAACTACAGTTACATTATGAGCACTTCTCTTGATTCTATCTGAGACCATACCCTGAAACTCAAATGCTCAGTTGATTATTTGAAAACTTCTTATTTTTATGTCCTTCTGTTTCTTAACACATCATCCTTGCGAGAAATCTTATATTAGCAAAAGAAATTTGAGCAACAGAGAAATGGTATCATTGTGCCTTAGGGAATTCTGGTGTCCCTGGCTTTAGTAGTATCCAGGAATTAAGCTTCAAATGACCAAGATTTGAACTTGCTGATGGCTGAATTGTATATTCTCCTTTTCTTTCACTTTCTACTCTGCTTTCTCCCCTCCCTTTCCCTTTCTCCACTTTTCATTTTCACATCTAAAACTGTCCTTGGTTACAGCTGTCTCAGAACATGCACTTTGGAGAAAAGATGCTATAAAATCTCAAACATTCACAATAAAAATCAAAGGTTTCCCAGCAAGGTCAGGTGAATTAGCCCAGAAAGCTGAGAACGAGTGGGGGAAACATTCCACTTTGTTCACAGTCTTTTGGCAACCCATAATTTCAGAGACAGGATTTCAATCAATGTGGAAAGACATCTTTCCCTGGAGTTGAATTCACTCCAAACCATTCTAGGCGTACTTACTGCTGGTGAATTTCAGCATTTACTGCTGGTGTCAGCTTCCTAGGGTGTAGAAAGCTGCTCTGAATTTCTGCCAAGAATTTTTGAGCTTTTGTGTCACCTCAACCCTAGGTGATGATCAGACAAGCTAGGCAAATGTGTCACAAATGCTCAACAGAGATGCCCCAAACCAGCAGTCATCCTTAATAGGCAGCCCATCCTTTGCTTAACATCTGAGCACCTTCTCATCAATTCTAACACATCCTATTCATGTGAATTGTGTGTGTGTGTGTGTGTTTGTGTGTAGCACTCACAAGTGAATGTATATGTGTATATCTATCTAGCTATGTAGAGATAGGTAGATATGAAAAGAAGGCTGAGTGAGAATTTCAATAGCACAAAAGGTTTTTTGATTCACGGTAATGAATGCACAGATACAAAGGTCAGTCGATATGAATCCCATAATACCTGTGTGCTCTTCATACATAAGAAAGAGAACATGGGAGCAAACATCCCACCACAGCATACACATATACAGCTTCTTGGTAAATACAACATGTAGTAGACATTTCCTCATGTAGTGGGAACAATACACATCAGCAATGCAGTTTACAAGATATAAATACCCATTCGGTCACTCCCCAGATCTCTTAAATGTTTGGAGAAAGGGAAGGATATATGGGCATTCAGGAAATAGATCTTCCAAGTCTTAAATGGAAATAAGGAGATTTTTCTTCCCTATAAATATCTTCATAGTTTTGGTGAGTCTGTTCAAGGAACCATTGAATTCCTGGGGAACTTGTGTTTCAGGAAGTATAGTCAGTATCCAAAGAGATACCCAAAGATGAAATTCTTTACTCTTCAGGGTCTGCTGTACCTTTGCCATTTCCAGTTAGGTTAAGTTGGTTGGTCACTTGGTGATTAAAAAAGTAAGGGTCAAAACTGATGAGACAGCGAGTTATCATTTCTTTCGGTTCTAAATAGACCATGATTCATCCCTGAGAGATTCTCCGGAGAAATGAGGCTCACATGTACTGTTTGACACTATCCGAGTCTTAACTATTTGGGGCAGGTTTAAGTATAAAAGAGAGATGTCCTATTTTTAGTCTCAAAATGTTGACATCCAGAGTATAGTGAAATGCTTTTCATCACAGAAAGGACAAAGAGCGTCCTGTTTTTCTCCACATTTGTGGAATATGAATCTTAAGAGAGAATGTTAATCTGTGGGACCGGGAGAGTGCCCTGCGTTTGATTAATTTGATGTGCTCAGCTGGGGCACCTGCTTTCTTCCCTGACTCTGACTTGCTACTCTGTTTCTATCTAAATGTATAGCATAGGGCACCATTCCAAGCAACACTGTCCACTTGGTGAGGGAGGCTAATTTACAAATAAGTATGACACATGGCAGCCTTTGGGGAAGGGAAGGAAAAGCCCAAGACCACTTGGAGGACACAATTGACGTAAGAGGACTGGGAAGCCAGAACTTGTTTTTGTTCTTGAGAGTTTACTGAGCATCTAGACTCAGTAATCAAGAAAACCCACCCTCATCTACAAACTAGTTTTCTTGAAGTGGGGCACATCTTTCACTTTATCCACCCCTTCATCCAATTCCTGATTCTGGGCTCCTTCCCAAGGTCCTGTATCCTCCAGGTTAGGATGGGGAAAGGAGGGAGCCCCTTAGCTCTGCTCTGGGCTGGCAAAAGCTTAGATGCCTAACAGTTACCAGAGCCAACCAACCATTTTGTGGCGCCTCGCTCCATTCCGATCATGTCCAAGTGTTGCCCTCACTGGCAATTTCCAGGGCATATCCTGTGGTCCCTCTCCAGCCTCTAGGACCAGACTGCCGGTTCTGCTGCAACAGGCTATTTCTACCCAACCTCTCTTTTGGGCTGCACTATTTCTTTAAAACCCAGCTCCCTAAACTGAATTTGGCTTACTGGTTTATTTCTTCCTCTCCTTGTCATCGTGCTAAAAATTTCAACTGAAAACTTATAAATTCAACAGCTGGCAATCTTCTCAGAATGCCCTTGTGTACAGAAATCTGTAGAAATTGGTAGGCAAAGACTCAACAAGGAATAGTTGAGAAACTTCTTCCCGTGGCGTAAAGTAGGTGAGTGGAAGCAAGACAGTAGTCCTCTGTAAAGGAAAATAGTTAACAGTAGCTATATTTACTGAGTGCTTCCTCTGTGCTAGGCACGTAGGATACCAGCCAAGCTTCATGTTTTTCATAGATTATTTCATATAATCTTCATCTAAGGTAAGTATTATTAAACCCTGTTTTACAGACGGGAACACTGAAGCTTAGCAAGCTTCCAGTTACATTTTCAAAGTCACAGAGCTAGGAAATAGCAGAGGTGGGTTTAGAAAAGAGGCCAACCTTACTCCAAAGCAGGGGCTCTTTCTAAAAAGCTACCCTTCCCCCAACTGAAAGAGCGCCTCCAAGCAGCTTACCTTTAATTCTAAGCCGCGGTTCTCAACCGCAGGCTACGTGCCCCTCCCCCTAACAAAAGAAAGAACATTTCGTCGCTATCTGGGGACATTTTTGGTTGTCACAGCTGGTAGGGCACTGCTACTGGTACCTGGTGAGTAGGTAGGACCAGGGATGCTGCTCCATGTGCCACAGTGCTCAGGACAGCCCCAACAGCAAAGAATGGTCTGGTCCGCAACGGCCAGTAGTGCGGAATCAAGAAACCTTGATGCAAAAGATGGTGGATTTTTAAAGCCAATTCATAAAACCCAGGTTATTTGTCTGTAATTCACTCATATGTACATTCTGTCCCATCACAGATGACAGCAGCCTTCTAAATCTAACTCCCTACCCCTTGGTTAGAAGACGGAAGAGAAGGTTCTTTGGGCTGTGTTGTCTGGTCTCAAGCTAGGCAATTCCTCCTGGAAACCCACCGTTGCGAAGACCTGAAAATATCACAGAACCTGAGGACCTCCAGACAGCTGAACCACAATTATTGGTTTTTGACTATGTTTTCTATGCTTCCTTATTACTTTTATTCGCCTCCCCCTACCCTTTTAAATGATTTTACATCTGAAAGCAGCTGCTGTCAAGGGAAAAAAAAAAAAAAAAGATTCACAAAGCAGGCTGTTTTTAAAAGGATTTTTAAAGCTGACATTGTGCATGTCTGTTCCAAACCATACCATGACAGATGCAAGAATTATGGTTTTTAAATTATTTAAAAGTTTTTTTAAATGTATAATACAGAGAAAAATTATTTCATGTATAATAGTATATCTTTAGCTCTTGCTGGTCTCATGTGAACACTTTATCATATATGAGAGTCTTTAAACATAGAAATCTATCTAAAACTGCAAAACTGTGTTCAAAAATCCAATCTATCAATATTATTAGAAATAATATTATAATCAAACATACACCACCTCACCTATTGCTTTGTCTGCACCCATTTACATTTAGTCTTCCATTCTGTCAGAATCCAAGAGCTTCTACATAAAGATATCTTAATTTATAATGCAACAGAAACCATATATGAAACGTATTTAAATTTTGTAAATACACAATAATCCTAATACCTTCGTACAATGCATATGGGCAACTAATTTCCTTTTGATCCAATGGTGTCTTTTTCAGCTTCTTGGAGAATGAAGTAATCCAGTTAGAAAATGGTGTAGTAACATATACAATTACCCTCAAATGTAAAATTGAATATTATCATATTTTGTTCTAATTGAAATCTGAAGCATGATGTCTGCGCATCAGCATAGTGTTAAATCTTATAGGGCATGCTGGAATTAGCTCAGATCATAAAAATATTTAACATTTTATGTTAATAAAATCTTTTTAGTTAAGCTAAGCTTGTCTCATTTTAGATGACTATGCAGATATGACTTTTCCAATGTGTACTTGGTGTCTTGTCTTAAGCTTAGAATCTTGAAAGCAGGACACATTAAGCAATACTATATTTTAGAAAGGAGGAGGCCACATGCTTTGTTTTTCTGCTCACAGCTCTGTTATGATCTTCCTCACTAAACTTGTAACATGATACAAATTTTGTTGTATCTTCCCCTGTTCTTCCTTGGCCCGTTACCCAAACAGAATTTCCCATGGGTTGAGAGACCAGGCCTTTGGACTTCTTTTCTTGCTTTCCACAATCTGAGGAATCCTCAAGTCAGACAAGAGGCACCAGTGTCTAGTCCAATGAAAGGATGAGCTAGATGCTGATCAGTGGTTTACCCAAGATGCATCTTTAATCCCAACCCTATACTTTCTCAGTACTTATGTGCATAGGCATTTATATGTCCAATATTTTGACCCAGCAACTAAATATAGTAAAGCTGTTAGCTTTAGTGAAGATGAAGATAGGTTATACAAACTACTGGAATAATTCTTGTATTAGATTGACCTATATGAGATTGCTGCTGTTTGACTGTTTTGACCTACAAAAATGGCAGTTTCATATGGTTCAACCTAATATCTGATGTTGTGAAGATTATACTCGGAATTACCTAATATCTGATGTTGTGAAGATTATACTCGGAATTACCTAATATCTGATGTTGTGAAGATTATACTCGGAATTATCTTCTAGCTTTTGTGATTGAAAGCGAAAGGATTAGAGGGTTGGAAGAGATCTCAAAAGGCTATGCAGGTCTCTATTGAGATCATACCAGCTGGGTTTTGGCCTTATTCTTGGCACCCAGAGTTGTGTGCTCCAGTGAACTGGTAATTAACGCACGATTACAGGTGTGCCTGACTTCGTACAAAGAGGTACCCTTGAAAGTTATATGAGAAAACCACAACTTTCTAAGTCAAGTATTTGGAAGACGGTTGTTGGAATATGCTATTTAGAGACTCTTAGAATGAATACCCCCTTGCAAAGCAGGTAACCACTCCCAGATTTATCTGGTCTGCAAACCCTGATTTCATAAATCAGGTTTGACAAAAGTTTAATATCTTTTTTTGAGTATGGTTCATTTCATCCCGTGTGCTTAATTCACTTAAGGTCCATTGTTTTAGAAATCATAAAATAGCCCAATTGGGCCCGCTCTCGGCTCCCGCCTTTGCCCTCACCCACCTTTCCACTATACTGAACCCTTAGCCTCAATCTAGTTCCCATTAATTCATGCGAAGTTATTAACCAATAAGCCCAACCTCCTCTAAATGCTTGATCTAAATCACTTCTGCTTGGTTAATTTGTGCTCACTCTCGCCTTAGTCCGGTATGAAAGGAACACTTACCTCCTGTGCCATTGTCCTTTGTACAAACTGAAGACTGTTAATAAATTCAGGTCTCGGGGCGCCTGGGTGGCTCAGTTGGTTAAGCGACTGCCTTCGGCTCAGGTCATGATCCTGGAGTCCCGGGATCGAGTCCCGCATCGGGCTCCCTGCTCGGCGGGGGGTCTGCTTCTTCCTCTGACCCTCCTCCCTCTCGTGCTCTCTGTCTCTCATTCTCTCTCTCTCAAATAAATAAATAAAATCTTTTAAAAAAATAAATAAATAAATTCAGGTCTCACCTCCAGGTCTGGGAGGGCTATAGTAGCTATTCATGGGGATGGGAATTTGTCTAATTCCCCAGCTAGGCTTTCCATATCTAAGGTAGATAAATTCAGCCACTTTATCTTTTATTCATAGTGCCTGTTTCCCAGACTTTAATTGGTTTTGTAGTTCCTGTGGACACACTCCAAGATTTATAGACCTTCTTTCACTAGCAGGTCCTAAAGTGAAATTTAGTGCTCCAAGTCGTGATGACCTACACTGGCTCGTAATGGCAATAGATAGCTCACCATCTCCCATTAGATATGCCAATGCATCTCTTTAGGAGCTGACCCCACTCTCCTCTCACCTACCAAAGGACTTTCTCAGGTGTAGTCCATGAGATCGAAGTCTACTGTCTCGGCCTCCTGCTGGTAATTCGCTTTCAGATTAGCAATAACGCTGAGCTGATCCCCAGCGGTAAGGTGAGAACACTGAACCCATTCCGCTGCATGTACTCACATGCGGAAACTGGAAAAGGATGTCAACTTTTTCTGGCACACCTTCACCCGTTTTACCACCGTAATTTTAATATCCCGTGTTGATTCATCGTTTTCTTTTTTTCAGATTACAGAGGCAATATATGTTCTTTGTGGGAAATCGGAAACATACCACCAAGTATAAAGAAAATAAAAATCAGCTGAATCCCACCACAGTCATATTGTTTAAAACCACATTTCCAGGCTTTAAGTCAGTCAGTGGCTGGGCCCAAAGGCACTTGTGGAGAAGGTACGTGAGCAAATGCCCACAGGGTCGAGGTATCACTTTAAAATATCTGTCCGTTGATGTTTTGCACACCTCTAGGAGCAGATCAGTTCAAACTTCTGCTTGAGCCATTGTTCAAGGGTACAAAGAAGACTTTAGAAGTAGCACAGCCCTGATGCCTCCTCTCATGAAAGCTCTTAGGGAAATTCTAAAATCCTTCCAGATGATTTTGTTCCTCGGTGCTCCGCTAACTGTTGGATACTTACTATATGACAATACTGCCACCTACCGAATGCTGAGCTTCAGAATAAGAAGGGAAAACAAATGCACAGGGTGTAAAAGCTTCTCATTTATTTTAGACAGCAAACAGTGGGCCAGATTAACAATATCCCATATGGAATTCAGATCCTGGAAGTCTCAAAGTGGAAAGGATTAAGAATATCATCCAGACTCACTTCCCATGCCACACGCACATACCTAAGCACTGTCTATCGTTTCTTTGTGTTCTAGAACGTCATCAGGTGCAAAATGCTCAGCTTGCATATAACTACAGATAGGATGAGAAAAACCAGTGATGCTATAGGCCCATAATAAATCATTATAATTAAATATAAAGATCAGAAATAAACCCAAGAACATAGAAGCATTGAGTGCAGTATAAAGATAGTATTTCAAATCTGTGAAAAAAGGTTGGATTACTAAATAACTTGGGATGACTTGTTGGCCATTTATTGGGGGAAATACTAGACCTATACCTCATAACTTCCATCAAAAGAAATTCTAGGTGAAGTTAAGATTTAGATGTTAAAGCACATAAGCATATAAAAGGACTAGCAGACAATATTGACAAATATTTACGTGATTTTACCATTAAAAAAAAAAAAGCCTTTCTAAGCACGACAACAAAGGAAGAAACCAAAAAGAAAAAGATGGATATATTTGACCAATTAAAAACATGGAACTCTTATATGGTAAAAAATAACAAACCAAATTAAGAGAAAACAAAATTTGAAATATATGCAACAAAGAGCATGGATCTCTAATATATATCAAGAGCTTAAACTCCATTACCCTTGGGAATTTTCTATGATCTACAACTTTCCCAACTAAGTGTTCCCATTTCATTGTTTCCTCATTGCCCTTTTAAAATTATTGCTTGTTTGTCTGTTCATCTTCACTACACTGGAAGTTCAAGAAAGCAGCAACCACGTCTATTTCGCTTACTGTTATATCCTCAATACTTAACACAGTGCTAGACAAAAGCAAATACTGAAAACATATTTATTGTGTGAGTGAATAATGAATGCATGACTAAATAACATTTTATGATCAAAAAGAATCAAACTTCCCAGTAGAAAATTGAGCCAAGGATACAAACTGGCAGTGTACTATAAATTAAAGTAATGAACTAATAATAAACATGAAAATACTTAGCTAGAAATAAAAAATGCAAATTATTATAATATACTCCTTTTTATGTATCAGAAGGACAAAGGGTATAAAGAATTATAGTTCCCAGGGACAACAAGGAAGTATGGAAATGAACATTCTCTTACAGAGTCAACAAGGGTGTAAATTGATCCGATCTTTCTGGAAAATATTTTGGCAATATATTTTTTGTGTATGCCAGATACTTCCACTTTAGGGAAATTCTCCTCAAAAAAAGTCAAGAAAAATGAATCAAGATACATTCATTCATTATTCAAAAAATATATGAAAAAAAGGATGTTTATAGGAGCATTATTTGGAGGAATGGAAAAAATATAAGTAAGCCTATGACATAGGGTTGATTAAATATGGTATATCCTTTCAATGGAATACTGTGCACCAATTAAGAGTAAGTACTAGATGTATATTTATTGAAATAAACAGCTATATTGTTAAATGAAAAAGGAAGTTACAGAAGAATATAGTATGTTTCCATTTTAAAAGTATACATATACATGTGTGCTTTACGGCATCTGAAAGGATATTTGCTAAAATGTTAACAGCATCTGTCTCCGGGAGGTGAGATTTGGAGCAACTATATTTTCTTTTTGCATATCTGTAATTTCTGGTTTTTCCACAATGAGCATGTAGTATCTGTATAATTTTTTCAGGGAATAAATAACAATGTTCACGATATATCTTAAATGAAAAAAAAAACACGTTATAAAACAGTATGTATAGTATGACACAATATTTGTAAAAAAGAAAATTATATATAAATATATCTATGTATGTATATATATGCATAAGAAGCTAGAAGGACATACACTAAAATGTTAATAGTAGTTATTTATGGGTAGTGGGGTTATGGGTGATTATTTTTTCTTTTTGCTTTTCTGTGTTTTCTAATTTTTCTACAATGAATATGTATTCCTTGTGTAATAAAAACTAATAATAAAAGTTTTAAAAAAATGAAAAAGTGAGACATTGTGACCCCACTTGCTCTCATCCTCCCCACCAACCCCCTGGACTTACTCCTCCTCGTCACCGGGTGGGGAGTGGGGATATGGAGAAGAAACACCAGGGCACCGTAACTTTGGGAAGACAGACTAGCGAGCCAGACAAAGGGGGATGGGGAGGGGGGAAAGAGGGGAAGAGAGAAAGAATGAATTAAATGAAAGTGAAGTCAATAGTGGAAGGATTAAAGCAGGCTTTGGAAACATTTTCCCTGACAATAGCAGTGAATCTCTAAATGTAACTCAGTTTTCCTGATAGCCATGGCAAATGAAACAAAAACAAAAACAGACAACACTGAGTTAAATAAGCTTGTTTTCTAATAAAAGGAATTCTGTACATGTCTGGAGAGACATCCAGGAGTTCAGTTCTGACAGGGAGGTATCCTCAAGTTTTTCAGGGAGGCAAACTTCCACGGTCCGGCTGGTTGTGGAGGACTGTACAGCAGAGCCCGGAGGCACACAGGCTTTTGTCTGAACCTCATCTGTGCCGCAACCAAGTATACAACCACGGCTAGCCACTCCCATATCCATTCTCTCCTTCTTCCCTGTACAAACGGAGACCCCAAATTCTGGCAGGATGCTGGCCACCTAAATTAAAGACTCCATTCTCCCAGGCTCTCTTGGTTTGGGATGTGGCTATGTAAGTGAATTTTGGCCACTAGGATATGAGTAGAATTGTGTAATTTCCAAGTAACATCCCTAAAATAAGGGGCATGCATCTCCATGCTCACCCTCTCCTCCCACTAAGCTGCAATGAGAACATGTGAATGAGAGCTGAAACATGGTCTTGGACCCAGAAATGGACACCACATGAAGACCTGAATCACCTATCTCCGTACTGTTATCTGGTTAATTAATCAGTTAATAACTTCTATTTCATTTAAGGCATGAATAATGAGAATCTTAGTTCAGGAGAACCTGCCCACCAAAGTAATGAACTTCTGTAAGCCTCAGTTTCCTTAGTAAAGTGGAGATGACAATGTTACTATCACAAAAGGGTCAACCAAATTAACTGTTCACTGTTCAATTACTTGCCTAGAACCAAAGCTCTTTCATGAGAAAAATCCAACAAATGAAACACTACATGATACTGAGTTGCAGAACAGTAGACAAAAAGGAATCTTTTAAATAAATAGTCTTTTTAAATCTAATGGTCAACTGATTTCCATACGGAAAACAATTATGCTTCACCTTTAACTCATTCCAAGTTGATTATTGATCTAAAGGTAAAAGGAAAGCACTAAAGCTTCTAGAAGATAAATAGAAAAATATCTTTATGCCCACAGAGTTGTGAAATAATTCCTAACAGGACAAACCACTTCGGAAAACAGTTGGCATTATCTACTATTGTAGATCTTATGTGTACCTTGTGACCCCGTACTTTCATTCCTAGGTAGAAACACAACAGATATGTATGTGTACATTCAAAGACAGGTAACAGAATACCCATAGTGGCATTATTTGTAATAACCAAAACCCACTAACCATTTAAAGATCCATCTACAAAAGAATAGAAAAGTAAATGGTGTTATATTGAGAACACCAAATACTACAGAGCAGCAAAAAAGAAATGAACTCCATTACAGCTATATATAACCAGATGAAAGAACAAAACCATTGGAATGTTGAATGAATAAAAACTAGGTGTTAAAAAAAAAAAGTGCATACTGCCATTAGCAACCAACATTCACAGCACGTGAGAGAGGGATGCCGTGGCTCAGTTACACCCACCTGGGCAGGTACCACAGCTCCTCCTACAGTTCATCCCTGGCACTGCTCCAATCCACTTGATTCTCACATTGATTCACTACACCCAGGTATAGATTCTTCTGGATTCTGTTATCACAATTCACTCTACAAAAAGAGGGACAGTGGGACGAACCACAGCTTCTTCTTAACCCATGCTAGATTCCCTTAATCCTCGTCAGGCAATTCTGAGCTGCCTGGTAAAATGATCCAGACCCTCACCCCCAAGCAGTCTGAAACCCTGGTTACCCTGCTCGTTAGTACACTGCAGTTGCTATACTTGCCCATTTACAGTTAAACCTGGGTATACCAAGAGGTGACCCGGTGGGTCGTATGAGTGCCAAACACACTCCTCTGTGCCCTCATCATGTTGCAGTAACTCTCCCTGCTGATGATGATCAGAGCCGATAACCTCTGTCAGTATGCTAACTCTTTTATTTGCCTCCTAGTTTTCTGGCCTTAGGAACCTAAAGTCACCACGTAGCAGTGGTAGCTTAAAGCTTAGTGCAACTCTTATTTTCTCCCTCTAGAACTCAGGACCTCTAGACACACAGATTCTAGATCCCCAGATAGAGAGCACAAATTCCTCAGTGGATCCTAGAGCCACTCCTACTCTCACCCCTTGATTTTTGGACCCATGACTTTAGAATACTATAATGACCATTGATTGCCGTAAGGAGTGGAGTGCACCCCATAGGTTACACCATCCCAAGGTTATAAGGCATCCTCTCCTTTAAGAGGCCAGGTCACCTCTCCATCGGGATGGCAGTTTCTGCTTGGGTGGAGCATGTGTAGGAACAGCAGATCCCACAGTCATGTCTTCACTGATGTACCTGCTTGGCTAAAAAGTGGGGCCCTTGGTCTTAGGCAATGTTATATAGCATCCCATGTTGGTAAATTGACACTTTTTTTTTTTTTAAGATTTTTTTATTTGAGAGAGAGAACAAGCAGGGTGAAGGGCAGAGGGAGAAGCAGACTCCCTGCTGAGCAGGGAGCCCGATGCAGGACCCAATCCTGGGACTCCAGGATCATGACCTGAGCCGAAGGCAGATGCTTAACTGACTGAGCCACCCAGGCACCCAATCAGACACTTTTTGAGTCAGTGAATACCAGTGCTGACGGAAGCACTGCAGACAATAATGGCAAACTCCTATCTAGAAAGTAGGTAAATCCTAGTCAGGATGGATGTAGTCTCAACTTTTCACCAGGAGGCCGTTTGTTCTCCCGAGGGAATGGTGTTATCTGGAGAGCACAGAGTCAGTCTCTATTGCCAAGAGGCTGGATATTCAACAGCAGCTATAAATAAATTTTGCTGAAAAAAGCTTGTATTAGTTTCTTATTGCTGCTGCTATAACAAATTAGCGCAAACTTAGTGGCTTAAAATAACACACATCTATCGCTTCCACTTGTGGAGGTCAAAACTCAGTTTCACTGGTTTAAAGTCAAGAGGTCAGCAAACCTGTGTTCTTTCTGGAGGCTGCAGGGGAGAATCTATTTCTTTTTCTTTTCCAGCTTCTAGAGGTTTCCTGTACTCCTGGGTTCGTGGCCCCTTTTTCCATCTCCAAATCAACAACGAAGTAGCATAGCTTCAATTCCCTCTCTGTGTGGCTCCTTCTTCAATCTTCACATATCCTTTCTACTCTGACTCTTCTGCCTCCCTCTTAGAGGGAACTTGTTGTTTTGTTGGGCTCATCCAG